ATACGGGCCACATGCTGGCCTTGTTAAGCAGAGGCCTTCCATCTACTTTCCAGACTGCCTGCTGGACATGGCTGTAGGGAATAGCAGTGGCCTGGGTTATATTGTAGTGGTTCGGGAAAGCACTGTAAATTAGGCAGAGCAGGCTGACAGTGGTCATCGGTGTGTGTCAGTTGTACACAGTTCCTTTTCCTCTCCTCACCTCAGTCTCCACCGGCTCCCTCGCTCAGCAGTACGCACATCCTAACGCCACCCTGCATCCACATCCTCCCCATCCTCAGCCTTCGGCCACTCCCACCGGACAGCAGCAAAGCCAGCATGGTGGAAGTCATCCTGCACCCAGTCCTGTTCAGGTAAGGAGAGGCATGGCCTATGCATGCACAGCTGCTGCCTTGTCCCTGCTACTTACAAGATTCCATGTGATCAGGGCCACCATCCTTAAGTAGCTTCGAGCAGTTGTGGGAACAGGGGAGATCTTGAAAATGTCATGTCGAGTCGGCCATTCCCTAATGGTGAATGCCAGAAACATAAGTGTTAAAAAGCTGCTTGATCTTGAAGTTCTGAGTTAAGTAGAAAGCGCTCTGGAATTTCATTCCTGAAGCCAAGCCGTAATGCTGCCTTCCTGTTGGCTTCCTCAGTCACCCGTGCTAATGGGGCAGTGAAGGCCTTGCTTGGTCTTGTAACTGCCCGGCTGAGATTTGGTACTGAGTACCCAGAAAAGACCCATCTGGACAGGAGCTGCCCCGTGCTCTCCTCTCTGCACACACCTCCCTGGGTGTGGTGGGTGTGCTGGCCTGTCACTCTCCTTCTGTGAAGCTCTGACTCCACTGGCTTCTCGATACAGAAGTCTCCCATTGCCTTGCAGCATCATCAGCACCAGGCCGCCCAGGCTCTTCATCTGGCCAGTCCACAGCAGCAGTCGGCCATTTATCATGCAGGGCTGGCACCAACACCACCTTCCATGACACCCGCCTCTAATACACAGTCTCCACAGAGCAGTTTCCCAGCAGCCCAGCAGACTGTCTTCACCATCCATCCTTCTCACGTTCAGCCGGCATACACCACCCCACCCCACATGGCCCACGTACCTCAGGTAAACCAGCACTAGCCAAGTTTTTGTGAAGGCCACATAGGGAGTGGTGGTGGTCAGATAAGCAGCAAGGAGCTAGTTGCTCCCCAAGCCAGGAAACCCACCCTGTGTGTGGTGCCATCTGCCTGTCTGCCCCTTTCCTGCTTAGTATGTGATCTTCTGGCCCTCAGTGAATGTTGCTATGATTTTGTGATGGACCAGTGAAATTGTGATTTAGCATTTCCCAGCTGAGACCTTAAAACTCTGAGTCTGGAATGCACCCCAGTCCTTTCCTTTCTGTGTCTGCTTCGCTACGTCTCTTAGCTTCACCACTATGTGTATATGTGTACACATACAGACACCTCCACACGCACACATGGGAGCCTGAGAGCAGGATGGCAGGCAGGCCTTCAGTGGTTCTCGCTTTCTGAGGGGACTGCACTGGCCTGTTAGTGTGAGTGCTAGTCCCAGTTGTTCTGCCTGGTTACCTCTATGACCCTGCTGTGGTCCTGTGCTGTGCTTCCTGAGCCTCGGCCGTCAACTGTGGTGCAGTGTGGATGGAAGCTCCAGAGCAGCCCCAGATCATCTGGAGCTCTTTCCCCAGTGTGAAGTCTGAGGTTGGAATGTGTGGTTGCTGACAAAGCCAGGACAGACCAGGGCCTTGGGGAGGCTTCTCTGTAGCTATTAGCATAAGGTGGCTGCATCGGATACTTTTGATCACAGTTCCCTGAGGTGGGTCTCACTTAGAAGTTACTGAATGATGGTATTTCCTGTCTCAGTGTGCCAGTGAGGCTCTGGCAAGGTGTGAGCTAAAGATGCTGTGTAGTTGGGTCTCTTGCAGAAGGGCTAGCTTGTTACTGTCCTCCCCCAGAGCTAAGCGTCTGTAGATTATACTCCTGTTGATTGGCTGGCAGCAGTGGGGAGGGGAGCCAGTTTGGTCAGTGTGCTTTGGTGGAGTGAGACTTACGAGAATCAGGGTCCTGTAAGTGTCCAGCAGAGGTTGTGAATTTACGTGTAAGATGGGCTCACCCCAAACCTCACTCCTGTGTTTTCGTATGAGAGTAAGAGGCTAACAGGGAAAGCAGAGAGCCATGGGCCTGTTTGAAGGTGTGAGCCAGCTTTGCTGGGGTGATGGTCTAGAGCAGTGCACAGGATGGGAGGCAGGAAGCAGCCTCTTCCTGCTCTGCCCACTCCCTGCAGAGCCGAGGTTGAGCTTACGGACTGGTTAGCTAACATCACCTTTCTAACTTAAATTTGCTGCCACTTGGTACGGAGCACCGGGTTGACCCAACTTCAGATGACTGTCATCCCAGTGCAGCCAGTTAACTGCAGCCTTTGCTCCATCAGCTAAGCTGAGGGGCCTAAGTGCTGCTTCACCCTACTTTTGAGGAACCCATCACGGGGAAGGGCGGAAGAGGAGACACTCAGGAAGCTGCTGAGGGTGTTGGGGAGACAGTCCCCTTACAGGCCCTTGTTGGTTGCTTTCTGACTTGAAAAGGGCATTGATATCTTTGGCCATGTGCCCCAGCAAGCTAAGAAAGTGCCCTTCCCCCCACCCCAATAGAGGCCTGCTTTTGGTGAGGACCTTGCCCTGTGTGGTAATCTGAGCAGACGTGTTAGGGAGTAGGAGGCTGTAGCCAACTTCCCCATCTTAGCCCTGCAGGATCTATCTCAAGGTGACCCGAGAAGTCCATCTTGCCCCTTCTTGAGCCCTAGTCCACTGAAAGGAATGGCTGACTTGTTGTTTAAGAAGGAGATGTTGCCTGTATGCGTAAAAGAGCTCTCTGTTTCAGGCTCATGTACAGTCAGGAATGGTTCCTTCTCATCCAACTGCCCATGCGCCAATGATGCTAATGACGACACAGCCACCCGGCGGTCCCCAGGCCGCCCTCGCTCAAAGTGCACTACAGCCCATTCCAGTCTCGACAACAGCGCATTTCCCCTATATGACGCACCCTTCAGGTGAGGCGTGTGTGTGCAGGGGCCGCCGGGGCACCCCGAGCGTTCTGCTCGTAGAGGTAGAATGGCAGGCAGGACCAGTGCTTCAGGCTGCAAACCTGACTAGCAAGGCCCGTCCAAGTGTGCACAGGAGGGATCGTGACGGTCAGGGAGCATCAGAATCTGTGTGTGTTCTGCTGGCATCAGGGTTGGCTTGAGAAGCAGCAGCCTCATTCTGGGTAGCTGATGCATGCCGAGGACTCAGTTGGCCTTCCTGGTTATGTATGATAGGCTGGACAGGGCAAGTGCGTTCCTTCCCGAGTCCTTCATAGGCTGATGTGGGGGGTTCATGCCCATGGCCAAGTTTGATGGTAGCTTGGAGAAGAACACTGATGAGCACGTGCTGTGTGCGGACTGGTCTGAGTGTAGTTGTAGCCCCAGCCTGTGCCCGGACACAGGACGCCCATGATGTCTCGTACTGGACGGCTGCTGTGAGGACACCTGTCTTCCCTGTGACGTGGAAAGCAGTGGTGCTTGGCTAGCATGAGTGGGAGGGGGTGTGAGGCCTGTGCTCCACAAGCAGCAAGTCCAGGACTTGTATCTGAAGTGGTTTTACGTCTGACTGGTTTGTTTCTCCTCACCCCCCCCCTTCCCTCCCCAACCCTACCTTGGCTGCAGCTGGAGGGGCGAGGGGGCAGCATTAAACCTCCAGTCTTACTCAGCTAGCACAAGAGTAGTTGACAGTCACGTGCTGCAGACACTAGGCTGGTGGGCAGTGGTGCCTGTGTTGTTTAAATAGCCACTTTTCTTTTTTACAGTACAAGCCCACCACCAACAGCAGTTGTAAGGCTGCCCTGGAGGAACCCAAAGGCCAGATCCCCTCCTCCCTTCTACTGCTTCTGCCAGCTGGAAGCACAGAAAACTAGAACTTCATTGATTTTGTTTTTTAAAAAGATACACTGATTTAACATCCGATAGGAATGCTAACAGTTCACTTGCAGTGGAGGATGTTTGGACCGAGTAGAGCATGTAGGGACCGGCGGCTGTTCCATAATTCCATGTGCTGTTGCAGGGTCCTGCAAGTACCCAGCTCTGCTTGCTGAAACTGGAAGTTATTTATTTTTTAATGGCCCTTGAGAGTCATGAACACATCAGCTAGCAACAGAAGTAACAAGAGTGATTCTTGCTGCTATTACCGCTTTAAAAAAAAAAAAATCAAGACTTGGAACGCCCTTTTACTAAACTTGACAGAAGTTCAGTAAATTCTTACCGCCAAACTGACGGATTATTATTTATAAATCAAGTTTGATGAGGTGATCACTGTCTACAGTGGTTCAACTTTTAAGTTAAGGGAAAACTTTTACTTTGTAGATAATATAAAATAAAAACTAAAAAAAAATTAAAAAATAAAAAAAGTTTTAAAAACTGATACCCAATGAGTGTGTGTTTGTGTGACTCCTGCAGCTGTGGGAGGCGGCGGACCCCAGGGAGGGCAGGCTGCGTGTGCTGTGTGCGCCAGTCTGAGGAGGTGCTGAACAAATGACTTTTCTTCTTCACCTTTAGTTCTTGCTCAAGGTATCTAGAAAGAGTCAAGACCGAGACCCCCTCTCAGGTGGATTAGCAGTTGGCTTCAGCAGAAGGAAGGCTGGCCAGAGGTGGGCAGCGATCAGAAGTCCACATCTGCAAGCAGGTGCAGACTCTGTAAGCTTGTCTTCCTTTTCTACAGAACCAAGTGTGGTTGATCTGAGTTATCCCAGATCAGGCCTGTTTTACCAGCAGGGGGCAGAAGATACTTCTTTAAAAAGGAAACAAAGAAATCTGGCCAGACCAGGGGTGTGTCCTTAGTGGCTAATGACTAAGTATTTGTCTAGTAGCAGAGCCTTGTCCGTCCCTAGTGTGGCCAGGGATGAGAGGAGAGATGGAGGGCACAGAACGAGGCCGGGCTGCCAGAAAGGAAGGCAAGTGGGAGGAGGGGGTGTGGATGCAGAGATCATGGTTGTAATTCTGAAAACCTTTTTAATTCACATATAGCAATTTGTACATTGTAGCAAAATTTTGCATTATTCAAGAATAAGTTACTCATACAGTACATAAAACAAAGATTTGCCAAATATACCTTCTGCTGTAATGATAGAAGATGAAATCCCCTGTTCCTGTGCTCACAATGCTGCTTATTCCAGCCACACACTGGCCATTAGATGTTTCTTCATTAGGAGGCAGTAGGTGACAGTTTATCACTTGGTGTTTGTGCCAAGGTAACATTTAAACAAGAGACCGAGCCCTCAGGGAAGAGGTGGATCCTTAATTTAGGTTAAGAAACATAGGTAAAGATAGTGTTATCTGGCCCAAGATGGTAATGATCGCTATTCCTTTCTCCTACACCATCCAGAAATGATCAGAGGCAGAAGATTTATGCAGATAAAGCCATGTGGATTGCTGGCAAAGTCAAGGCAGGTTAGTTGACCTAACTCTTTGGTGCTGGTGACTGTTAGTGTGTAGTTGAGTACTCAGGAGAAGGAAGCAAGGGTGTGGGGACTGCTGGACTACACTTTGTCTCTAGAGGGTCAACGGACACTTCCTGCCTAGATGGCCTCGCTTGCCAGTGGCGGCCAGTAAAGACTGCTGGGGGTGGGAATGGTGCCTGGTGTTGACACACTCACTGGTGAGGGCATCTGGCCTGTCCCCTTCAGCCAACTGGACCTACTCTAGCAGAGAGAAGGTGTTGGCTTAGTGTTGTCACTCTGTCCCAGAGTCACAGGAATACTTTTTTGCCTTACATTTTTCTAACATCCTGGACATTTTTTTTTTTTAAAGGAAGCTGTCCACAGTGGGTGAATCCAGCACTATGGGGCAGAGGTGCTGGCTTACAGCATCTGGCAAGTCTCTCTTCTGAAGGCCCAGGAGAAATGAGTGCCCCAAGTTTGAAGTTGGTTTAGCTTCTGGCCAGGTGCAGGGACACAGCTGTCCAACCATCCTATGTAGATTAGAGACAAATCTGGACCACTGGTTTGAATATTGCTTGTATCTCTTTGGTTCATACCTTATGTACAATGAAGGAAAGCTAGTTATCTTAAAGATGGAACACGAGTCCGCACCTATGTTGGACCCACCTTGGTCTGTGAACACAAAGGTGAGGTGCAGCTGCTTCCCTCACCAGAGCCCCCACACACTGGCAGAGTACGGAGTAACCAGATGAGGAGGTCAGGCCTGTTGGCTGCAGCAGGGCAGCAGCATGTTTGCCTCTGAACGTGTCTAGGAGTTAAGCTGAGATTCCCCAAAGCCACTGCTGTAAGCCTGTTTGTGCCCGTGAATAGCCCACTCCAGTCGCCGTGAAAGATCACAGTATCGGCACTGTCTAGATGGAAAGATTGTGTGGACCATAGTCTCCCACCAGTGACCCTGCTGCACCCGGGACAGAACACAGAAGCTGTTCCATGAGCTTCTTCATAGCACGGGGCCAGCTCCCTTTTTGGCTCACAAAAGAGCCAATCTCAGTAAGTCACTAGATGCTGGGGAGTGGGGTAGTCTATAAACGTGGGTTCACTAAGCTAGGAGCCCGCCCTTCTGTGTTTGTCTCCCCACCCTCACCCCCTAGTCATCCCATCCTCCGCAAAGCTGCTGTAAACCGGAGTCATGTTTTTGTTTTTAATGCATAAGGCACTGGGGTGGAATGTCTCTTGCCACCCTCCTCTCTCTGCAAGCTGCCTGGATTTCCCTGAAAGGGTGACACACTTCATTCTCTACATTAGGGAGGACAGTGGCTACCCCATAGCAGGCAACTGTCCTGAGGGTGAGCAGACAAGGACACTAGCATGCTAGCTTGGCTCACAGTGAGCGGGGCAGGGGTACTTCGCTTCCCCCGACTTCAGAGTGGCAGGGGCCCTAGTAGGGCAGTGCAGAGAAGTAAGCTAGAGTAGTAAATGGAAACCTGAATCCTTTTTTTAAAAAAATTACTCTGAGGTAAAATGTTTAAATCATTTTTGATCTTTAAGCTTGTCCCTCTGGCAGAGCTTCTGTCCTAAAGCTAAGAGTAGAAGCAGGATTATGAAGCATCCATCGCCTGTGGCATGGAGCGTGGACTTGCCACAGAACTGAAGCCACAGGGAAGGACGCCATGGGAGAATCCAGGGACTGTTAGTGTTGTGTGCTTCCCGATGACCCTACCTGGTAAGACGTCTGTCATCAGCTCTGTCAGTTTCCACTGCCAGCTCTGGGCCTGCAGCCCCACCTCCTCTGGGTTGGGGACAGGCCTAGGGTACCAGCTAGTGGCACCTGTGCACAAGAACTACATCTGTAAACAGTGGGAGAAAGCCAGGGGCTAGCTAGCTGTGGCTGACAGGAAGCCTGCCAGCCTTGTGTGTGTTGGAAGCGGGGCACATCTGAGCTGGAGATGCCTGACAGCAGCCTGTAGTTCTCTAGAGGGGATGAAAATGGTTACATTCACAAGTTTGCATCTCTGCACAGCTGTGAGAGAGGGGTGTACTGGTTGTCAATGGCCCGAAGGTGGCTCCGTGATGAGGAGTCCATGTCATAGTCTGAGTCCCGGGCATTGCTCACAGACTCAAGCTCCAGCTGCCTCAGACTGTTGGCCAGTTCCTCAGGAGAAGGCACCAGGTGGAAGATCTGCTCAGGGGGTGTCACTTGGCCAGGGAGAGCCTCTGCACCAGGGCCGGGGGGACAGCCTGCAGCAGTGCTGAGGTGGGGATGACCCAGCTCCGAGTCCCAGTGAGGAAGGGAAAAAGGGAAGAGGACAGTGTTGGAAGAACCTGGAGAGAGAACATGGATGAGTCTCAACTGAAGAAAGCACCAGAAAACAAGTTCTGTGCATGTGTGCACTTGCTGTGACACCACCCCTTGATAACAACTTTCGGGGTTCCTACCTGGGGTCTGAGAGACGACTACCACATAGCCAGAGAGTCGGACATCACAGGCTGCTCCACATTCAAGTGGGATGGGGGAGCGCTGGAAGTGGCGGAGCATGTCTACCACGGAGGGGAAGTGCAGGTGCTGCACCCGGCACTGTCCACGCTCTGTGAGCACCAGGCGGAGGTGCTATGGAAAGGGGAAGAGATGAGCCTGCTGCCCGGGCTGCATCTGCCCCACCCTGGTCCACCAGTCCCTGCTCCTACCTTGGCTCTGCCCTGTAAGTTGAATGTGAGTACATATTCCCCTCTCCGGGACTCACTCTGCCGCACCAGGAACACGCCATGGGCATCAGGGCCCTGCAGCTGAACCAGCTGTGCAGCCCTCACCCTGGAGATAGGGCCGTGGAACCAGGGGTAGCAGGACAGGAAGTGATCTGTTTTCTGGCAGGCTGGGTCCAGCATCACCCCAGGTGAAGCACCTGGCAGAAAGATGGTGGTGGTGACCCGCAGGGGGGGGGGCCACATGTCCAAGGACACCCAGAGACCAAGGATCGGGCACCTACCTTGGTCCAGGGAGTCAGTACTTCCCCTTGGGGATCTAGCTGGGCCAGGCTCTGCCACTAAGGAAAGAGGGAACTCTGTGTCCAGGTGCTCCAGCCTGTGGGGAAGAGGCTGGGTGAGAAGGGAGCCAACCAGGATTATCAAAGGGAGCCATGGATGGGCAGGGGCAGTCCTCACCTGAGGCCTGTGCTTGCCCTGAGCTCTGCCAGCCATGAGTTCAGCTGCTGCTCATCTCCCACCTCAAAGATGATGTCTGTCTGGTCCTGCACCTACAGAAAGGAGGAGGCATCAGCTCTGCATCTGAGGAGACAGCCGTGTCTCCCAAGGAGCCATAGCCCTGGTGCTCACCTTCAACACGAAGGTGTAGAGGTTGTCAGGCATCTCCAGGCGTGTACACGGTCGGACCTCCCGGATGGTGGAGCAGGCCTCTTGGAACTTGGGCTTTGAGCTCTAGGAGAACAAGAAGGTCGTTCAGGACTCTGCCCGCCCCTCGGGCTGTCTTAGTCTCTCTAGAGGAAGGAGGCACGGAACATCCTTCTCGTGCAGCTTCCCACCTGTAGGAACAGTTCTCAGCAAGCCACAAGAGTCACAGACATCATAGCTTGGAGAGACCACCTTTCTGGCAAAATGCCAGTTCTCAGGGTCGGAGTTCTAGGAGGGAAGCCACCCCTTTCCTGCCCTCTGGTCTCTTTTCCTCTTGGATAAGATTGCTGGCTGAGGGGGCTGAAGACCAGCTTCGGCAGCAGCTAAGAGGTAAGTAACTGGCAGAGCCAGAGAAGTAGGAAGGACAAAGGACTGACAGGCCTTTCCCCTCCCCTCCATGTCTTCTGTCCCAGGTTAGGAGAGACGACCAGGTGTTCTAGCCAAATACATCAAAGCTGGGTTTTAACTCTTGCAGGGTCCACTCCCATGCCACCAGCTTTGGCCAACTGCCTGTTAATAGGAGTGAAGGGGCCCTGCTGGAGACTGGCCAAGTGGGTGAGACATGACTCCAACTCCTGTCCACAACTGCTGTGTGCTGGCCAGAGGCCAGCCTCTTCCCAACTCCCTGTGCAAGCCTATCCTGAGCTACCTGCTAGGATGCCTGGCCCTGCACTAGGCTCTGGACTATGTCCATCTGGTTGGACGTGTGAGGGAATGCAGGTTGTGGGGAGTATCTACCTAGAACCCTAAGTATACTTAGAGGCCTTGGATTCTTTCTTACCAACATGCTTCACTGGTCAAGCCTACCAATAAGTAGCTTTCCTCAGCTCCAGCTGGGGTGGCTGGGGGACTGGAGTATCCAGGCCATTCGAAGCAGAATGGCACCCACTACCACATTCTATACCATTCACTTCCAGACCAAGTCAGACTGTTTTGGCTTTCTACTATCTTTTGCTTTGCCCTGCCCTCTCTGGTGTGTAGGGTACAGTTCTGCCCTTACTCTACAGCCCAGGCCAGGCTTTTGACTTTTCTCCAGACCTGACAGATGACGTGGGTCTGATGGTAGAATTAAAGGCCTGAGATGTTTCTGGGGTGGTAGTCAGTCTATGTGAGCCATGACAGTGCAGTTGTCTGTCCCCTGTAGCCCCAGCACAGTGAGACATCACAAAGAAGCCAAAGGTCCCAAGTCCTGCCACTGCACCGCCAGCCTGCTGGGAAACGGGGGTGACACTAGAGCCGTGGCTGTCTCTTGGGTCCTTGTACTGATTGCTGGTCACTCTTAAATTATGTGTCAAGGGACAGAAAAGACCTATCTTGGCACCCAGTAGTATCTTCAACAGCCTGTTGAAGATATTTCATCACGGTACCTTCATCTTCACTGGGCTCTGAAGGCACCTGGCCCAGGGAAGCCACACCCACCAAAGAAAGAACCTGTGTCTGGCTCAGCAGACCACCCGTTTCCCCTCAACTGCACTGTGTGGGGACCTAATGGCCATATGCCAGGACTGTGCCTACTGAGCCCTCACCTAGGCTCAAACAGCTTCCATTCTAGAGCCCAGCGCCACTACCATCATCACCCTGTGACCTGAGGACAAAAAATAGGGCCTCCTGATCTAAGAAGAGAGAGCTGAGAGGTCTTGGGGTAACTAAGTTCTGGCGTGTGTGACTGACTGACTGAATAATATGAAGCCTTTTCCAAAACAAAAACACAGATAGATACCCTGCTTTGTCCCAAAATAGATTTCAGTCAGACTATAGGGTTACACAGAGACATTTGGGAGCTGACCAAACCAGAAATCAATCCGAAGACAAGTCTGGCTGCAGACTGTTGAGGCTTCCATCGTGGACCCTATTTCCATTGTAGGCTATCAGAGTCAAGTAAGGAAGTCTACAAATTCCAGGCTCATGGCACCTGCCTGCCAGGTCTGGACTGGCTCTGCTAGTCCTCTTTCCCCCAAGGTTACCAACAGGTCAAAAAGACTTAGTACAAAGGCCCCTTGGGAAGTGCTCTGCCCCAGCACAGCAGGCCCTGGCTAGGCACAACATGAGCCATAACTGCATGCTTCAGAGCGACCACAGAGGCAATGGTCACACACAGAGCTATAGCTAGGACATCCTTGGCACCAGAATAGAGAGGCTGCCCAACAGAATGCTTCCAAGAGATGGGGTTTGCAGGTTAGTCAAAGTTACTAAGAAGTCACAGGGAAGCTAGTGCATAACTGAGGGAAGACAGCCGGTAGGACCAAGGAGCAGCAGGAACGGTTCAGAGCAAACCCTCAACATCATGTCAGGCTCTTTGGGGGAGAGGAGTGCAGGGGGTGGGGTAAGCCCTGTTAAAAAGAGCCCCAAGTACCCCTTAGGCAACTGTTCCCAGTATAGGAAATTAATAAGCACCCTTTACAAGTAAAGGGAGCCCCAGAACGCTGCCTATCAGGGCCCTCAGAGGAAACCTTACGGATGAGAATTGGGGCTGGAACAGAAGTGACACTGTTGAACCCTGGAGGCAGGCAGCAAGGATGAACTTCAACCAGCTGTGGCAGGGAGCTCAGATCAGAGAGAAAAGTTGCTTGCCTCATGACAGGACCAGGACCCATGGCATGAGGCAGATCAGCAAGACCGACAACGTAGGCGAGAGATGGAGCTTGCTCGGTAGAGTAGATTGCCTCATATGCATAAAGCCCTAATTTAGCCTCCAGCACCACAAAAACCACGCGGCTCAAATTTCAGTAGGATCGGAAGTTCAGGTAAGCCTTGACTACATCATGAGCTCAAGGTACAGAGAAAAAAGCTGTGGCCTACTGAGACCTAACGTACAAGGGTAGCTGGGGTGGGGCTTGGCGCATCCTAAGGCCCAAGTTCCAATGAAATGGCCAACAAACAACAGGAACAGAATCCATCCAGAGACAAACAGCAGACAGCCCACACAGAAAGGACTCTCAGCAGACAGAGGTGCACTCCTCTCAGTTAAGATCTAAAATTAGACACTTGCAACTGTGTTAACTATGTTAAAGCCAACTTATTGTTAAAGCAACAACAGCTGAGTGTGGTGGCACACACCTTTAATCCCAGCACTCAGGAGGCAGGTGGATCTGTGTTTGAGGCCAGCCTGGTTTACAAAGTTGAGTTCCAGGACAACCAGGCATGTATACACACACACACACACACACACAAACACCTTGCTTTAAAAAAAAAAAAGCCAGTCATACTCATATCCAAGAAAGATTAGGCTGGAGAAATAGTTAAGCAGTTCAGAGCCCTTTGTGGTACTCCATACTACCCAAGTCCAGTTCCCAGCACCCACCTGGTGGCTCACAAATACTTCCTACACCAGAGGATCTAACACCCTCTTCTGACCACTACAGGCACAAAACCTTGAGCTGCAGCTGAGGCAAAAGAGTTATAAATTCGAGGCTAAGCTGACAATCCATACTGTAAAGTGGGGGTTACAAGCTAAGGGGTAGTGCTAGTACCACAGGATACAGGATACAGCAGAGCATTGGAATGTCACTGTACATAGGAAAGACACCCTTAGCCAGCCACAAAACCCAAGCCCAGTTCTGGCTCCTGCAGGCCCCAACACCTACAGCCAATATGGAGATACATAGGTCACGTGGATGCCTATGTGTGCTTTTGTGGGAATATCCGTGTTGGAATTTTGCAGCTCCTCAAAATGTGAAGCACAGATTGAACAACCTGCTGGATGCATTGCACAGGTGTTCAAAGCATTATTCACTATAACTCCCCAAGTGGAAACAACCTGATTTCATTTCCACTTAGTCATAAATTAGGAAAGAAAATAATGGTAAGCCATACAAGGGACTACTGTCTGGCTACTAAAAGGAACAAGACAGTGGATGTGACTTGGCAGCCTCCTGGGGATATACCCAGATATGCAAAGGCCATGTCTAGCCTGAGTCCCAGTGTCTAGAACTAATAGCTAGCTAATGTCTAGGAGAGGGTGGTGATGGCCATGCCATTCTGGACTAGTGAACTGATGGTAGTGAAATCATCTTCCAGTGGACCCTGCACCCTAGAGTTGAGAGAGAACCCCAGCCTAATACTGCCCTCTTAGGAACTCCACCCAAGGAGACTGAGGATGCAATGCTCAGTGCTGAGTTAACTGGCCTAGGGAGATAGCCCTAGTACCTCAACTGTGTAGTATTAGAACACCTGTCTACTATACTGACACTTTGTTCCCTGCAGCCAGGGACAGGTAAGTGTTGGGGAGTATGCAGCTGTGGGTTTGGTCACTTTAGACGATCCTTATCAGTTTCCTAGGTGGTGGCAGCATTCTGAGGCTATTTGGCCCCTTTCAGACAACTGCCTAAGAACAAGAATTTTCCTGCGCCTGTGTTGGGGCCAGAGTCAGGTGGCTGGTCTCCCCCAGGAGGGTGTCTCTTCATTCCCCCAGCCTTGGCCAGGAGAGGTAGGAGGGAGGGCTAGAAGCCCCTTACCCACAGGGCTGTGCTGGAACCTTTTGAAGCCTTGGTTTCCTTTTCCACTCAGCAAAGCAGTGGGCAGGGGATTTCCCCAGCATGGCCATGGCGCGGCTAACAGGGGGAGGTCCCTGGGAGACCCAGTCCTGGGGTCTGGAGCCTTTGATGCAGGGGGTCTCATTTCTGCGCCTCAAGATGGGAGTTTGCCAGAGCACTCTGTCTGCCATGATGAGAAACTGAGGTTCACAAACTCAAGTTCTCTGCCCAAGAACACAAGCCAAAATAGGAGCTCAGACCTGCCCTCCCCAGTGCCTACCACACTGCCCTTAGCCATGATCCCAACACTGAGCCCACAGCCCTGACTCCGTGATGATGGCAGCAATGAACAGGCAGTGTCCAGGGCAGAGGCTCTGAACAGAGTGGGCATTAACTGGCACCGCCCCCAATTCAGGCATGCTCTACTTTGGATTTATAGAATGAGCTAAAAGAAGCCTGAGAGTCACCAGCTGCCTGCAGTGTTGGCCCAGCTTGAGCTGTGACCACCAGTTTTCCACAGAACCCATTAAGGGAGCAGGGATGCCCCACTGGGAA